ATCAGCTAACTCTTGTTGTTATCCGACTGGCGGCCCTGCCAGGCAGGGCCTGCCTGTGCGGAGTAGACGATATATGGCTGGCGCAGCACCAGTGACGCAAGCGCCTTAACCATAACTTATGTGCGTAATTGTGAAGGGAAGTTGAGATTTGGCTAGATGTTATGATTATTGTTCGTCGTAAGTCCAGATTCATTGTTATCAGTGTCATCCGTAGAGATTATTAGATTATTGAGTAAATGCAAGATTACAAGACTATTAATGTGACGTGACTTGGTCTGAAGAAGCCTAGTTGTGACGCGCTATGTATTACCTTCTTGTCCTGCGTAATGCTGAATCAGCATTGCTGATCGAGCAGGGGTTTTTCCCTAGTCTTTTCCCACTTGTTGGTCAACCGTTGTCACTCCGATATTACTACTGGACTACTAGATGAGTCCAGCTGATAATGTTGAGTTGCAAGACGGTGGACCGGTCGCCGCTGCTATAGGCAGCCTATAATAGGCTTCGTAACCCGCCCGGCAGCACAGCGTGCGCCGGGCGGCCTGGTGGCACCAGGCTGGTGCGTCACCCGGCACCCCGGGTTCACCCGGCGCCGCCCGGCGAAAATAGAGCGGCCCGCTTGCCGGCCTCGCGCTGCGACGATATAGTGAAGCGCACCTGTTGTTCACTGAATATTCTTCAGGCCGAATAATTCAGCTATCGATGCCCGGAATATACTATTAGGTTTCACGAAAGACAACCATGAGTTGTAGTGAATGCAATCTATGTTGTGCAACGTAGGAGCGAGCGAGTTTTTACGTGCACGCATGCTCTTTGTGCCTGCTCAGCCGGCCCGGCTGCATCGGTGCATCTTGCACCAACCAGTGAATCCTGAGTCGTGGCGTGTCGTTGTGTGCGTAAATTTTTCGTTTCAGGATGAATCTTTTCATATTGTTCATTCTCATGAGCTCGCAGACAGGGGGTTGGGCGAAAAAACGTAAGCGCAAAGACCTGCAAAAGAAGTATGATGCAGAGCTACCCACGCTCCAAGCAGAAGCTTGCCGCTTCTTCCGAGCTGCAGCGAGCAGCTTCAGTAGCAGTGGCAGTGGTGGTGGTGGTGGCAGTAGTGGTGGCATTGGTTATCGTACTGGCACCTTGGGCCACGGAGCACTGCATGACCTGCTCCGGGAGCAGGTCATTCTGGTGAAGCAATCATGGCCTCGCGACTTCAAATGGATGAGAAAGTTGATGGGGGCCTGCCAAAGGAGAACCACAAGGACGAGAAGAGTGACAACAATGAGGAAAGTGCAATGGCGAGGAAAGTTGGCCAAGAGGGCCATCGATCTCTTCCTTTCCGGGAAGTTCTACTGGATAAATATGGCTGGCTCCGTTATGACAAGACGACTCGCACAGCATACTGCATTGCTTGCGCTAAGTACGACCTTACTAATGCTTTGGATGTAGGTGTAACCGAGTTCCGGAGAGTCACCGGCAAGAGGGGCACTTTCGCTGCCCATAATAAGTCCGCTGAGCATTGTCAGGCTATGGAGAGAATGATGTCGGAGGAACGGCGGGGAACAGTTCTCCACCAAGTTGGTGGCACCAACTGAGTGCTCAGTCCTTGTCCGACGGGAAGCGAGGCCGACTGGCTCTACTGTGTATTCTCGACACTGTGAGGACATGCCTGAAACAAGACGTGCCTTTGTTCGGCCACGAGCACTCCGAGGGGAACGCTCAACAGTCCCTTTGTCTCCTAGCACGTCATAATGAAGACATCAAATGGTGGATGAGTAGGAAGCATAGAACCAAGCTTATCTCGGTGGATGTTCTGAGCGAAATGAGGACACTGGTGGGAACAGCCGTTATGCGCGCAATCTCTCAACAGTTACACGGTCGGAAGTTTTCATTCATCATCGACGAGACTGCGGACTGCAAAGGGCAGGAGCAGGTGGTGCTAGTGGTCAGAACCATAAGTCCGACAACGATGGTGGCCGAAGAGACTTTCTTGGGGTGGTACGCGACGGATAGCCAAGACTCG